AAGATTAGAATTAACTCGTTCCGCTAAATTGGCCCAACTACCCATAGGTGCAGTGCGAGCAGTTATAAGAAAATCTAAATCTAACCACATGAACATGCAGATGGCTGCTATTTGAACCGAACCAAATGTTGTCCGATGATCTGGGCCACCGTCTGTATACATGATCAAAATTGGGTGTTCAGCGTTTACTTGGGTATCATCCTGGCTATAATGTGTTCTTAATATATTGGTTGTTTCACAACCATGGCGGATGGCATTTGACGGACTGAAAACCTTATCTTTAACCGTCACAAAAGCTATTCCGTTGAAGAAGGAACTAGATGCAGCCTCAGGGATATCACATTTGAAAGTAACTGAGGGGATAGCACCACAAACATTGTAGTCATGGTCAAGAGCACTTATCGAAGGGCCTGATTTCGGAGCCAGAGAACGATTATGAGGTCTTACTCCTGTTGAAACTGGTAATCCTGGTTCTCCAATTGGCACAATAGCCTTGTCATCCATCCACAAGAAATCTGTAAATTCTCTATATTTTACCGCAAAGGCTTTGATGTACTGTAGTTGTACTGCTACATAGTGACTATCCTCATGCTGACCTCGTATTTGTCTGGATTGAATAGTAAACTTAACTTCAAACCTTGCCGTATATCGCAGTGCTGTTATTGTGTTTGGGTTAGTTGGCCAGAATTGTAATCTCACCCATTCGTTTGATGGGATCGGAGTGTTTTCGGGCAACCGCTTTTTTATAATTGACACAAGGTCTTCAATAGATATTGCGTATGGTAAGTACATATGTTGACCATGACGTCTCTCATGTACAGCTAGATTTATTTCATTGAAATAATTGTCAAGTTCGGTCCAAAATATATCAAACTTTGAATTTCGAGCATTGCCGTTCATCTTTCTTAAATCCCATGTGAGTTCAGGATCCTGGAGGGAGATAACTTCTTCCACACGTTTATCAATAACCTCCTGGTCTTCGGTTTCTGCAGACGAGCAGTCGTTAGTTAGAAATCGATACAAATTTCTGAGGACTGCTTTGGGTGAATTTGTAGCTTGTACATATTTGTTGAGGAACTGTTGCCTGATGTATCGTGTGGAAAATGTAGGTATATATTCACTTATTTGCTGTACAGTTTTAACTGTTTTATCATCTGATCTTTCATCTTCGGGTGGAAGCTTCCAAATGAAATTAATATTTCCCAAGTAATTACCATGAAAATATGTGTAATGGGCGACAGGATACGGAAGTTGCATATGTTCTAACCATGAACGCCTGTCAAATCGCTCTTCTGGTAAGAATTCAACCAAATCAAGGAATTCGTAAGGTTCTTTCACAGACAAGGTTGCATCTAATGCCATGTAATCAGCTCTAATTGGACCTGTGAGTTTTTGGATTGGGGTTAATGAAAAATTGATGTTTGGATTCCTCAGTGGTTCCATGGAAGCATTGCGCGCTTGTGATCGAATGTTTTGTTGACATAAAAAGTCAGCATACTTCTTCAATATGTTAATCAAGCCTTCCACAGCATTGAATAATTTAGTAAACTTCATGGTCCATGGAATCATTAAAAAATCTGACATTTCATCTATCAATGACCTAAGCTTACTCTCTTGCATCTGAAATTATAAAATAGAAGAGGTTATCAAAGGAACAAATGAAAATCAAATTCCGTAACAAAATGAATCCCGTTTTATTCCCTGAACACTTAATTTCTCAACAAACTCTCAGATTATCATCTTACAGTTACACTCCAATATAAAAAATCTTGTCAAACATTTGATGATGCCACTCTACAACTTGGTGTCAATTTGCCATCTCTAAAGGAGAGTCCACATAGCTAATATTCTTTTGGCAAGCTTTGTTGATATAATTGAATTGTTGACCACAACTCCTGCAGAGTGAATAAATTCTATACTATAACTCCCCTACTAAAAATCAAATGTCTATTACATAAAGGTTGTGTTTCATTGCTAGTTATTGTTTTGTGGCGGGTGCTGTGCACAGGGCAGGGTACGCTTACCCCTCCGGAACACCTGATACCACTTTTCATGCCATATGAAAAGTCCACATAACTAGTTTTGTTTATTGTATGTATGTCTATGTCTTTTACTGTTTTTAACAGTTTGCTTTGTTTGGATATTTTAATTCTAGCCTTGTTCTAGAAAACAAAATCTACCTGGGGAGGTCCTTTGTGACAGGCCTTGTTGTCATAATATCCAGAAAATTTTTGGAATATATCTGGAATTTGTAATCCACGATCTTTAAACTTATGATGCTGTGAAGTAATATACCATAATGTATTGTGGAGTGTGCTGACAAATTGCTTCCCAAGACTATTAACATTATGGGCTGTGAATCCAACATTCATTTCTTTCAACAAACTAAGAATGTCATTAAACATCCTATGGTCTTTTCTAAGATTGTTATAATTTTTTGAGGGGGGTAAACAATCATACTTTATGTTACTGGACATCATTTCATCAAAAGCATTTTTTCCCTGCTTATCGTTGTCACCACTTGAAGGAGTTGAGTTTGATTTTGAACCACTGACTTTCACTTTGCAAACAAGAAAGACTGTTACAAACATCAGATTAAAATCTACGATGACATGGAGGGGTGTTGATGCGTCTACGATGTTACCATTTGTCGTAACGTCTGAACTGGAAGCGGAATCAAAGGCCATAATTTTTTCGATGCGCAGTCCATCATCATCTACAATGCTGGGCGTGGAAGAAGTAGGAAGTAGGCCCACTCTCTCAATTGCTAAATTAGCCAGTTCACCCACTGTTCGATCGAGGCTTATTCTTATCAGGCACTTGAAAGATTCCAAAGCTCTTACCACTTTCACGCTAAAATAGCGTGAATCCATTGTGGGGCTTGAAAGGCGAAATCAAATGTCACCAACAACACGCCTAGATTAGTCGTATTGAACCATCATGGCGAATTTATTGGCCAAAGAGGAAGTGAAAACATATTTCATTGGCTGGTTATAAGTAGGATTAATAAAAGAATGCACACGATTGGCTAGGTGAAAACTGGACCGGTATTCTACGGAAAGAACCGAATGGTCACGGGATGTCACCAAATACATTAGTAGAGTAGACGTAGCGTTTGGACGAGCGAGGCTGGCATTGTCAAGGTTTATGGAGGCAGCGTTTATGTGAATACTTTCGTTCGAGATTTGGGTCGTCGATATTATTCTGCTAAGGGGTCCCGCTAATGGGCGAATCAGGAGCAGAAATCGCTATAACACGGTTCATGTCGCTATACGGACCGACATGATCATGATGTCGCATCTGAAAATCGGGATTTCGGTCGGTATTTTATTTAACATAAACTCAACTTACGTGTTTTGACAATATTATGTAAGCTCACATGTCCAACACTGATTAATTATCTGACCAATAAAATTAGCACCCTTCTATGACGATCACAGAATAATTAACACCAATAAAATAAATAACGGCTCACCATCCTCACGTTCGTAAAACATACGACGCAACTTTCATTTTTTTTTATAAGCTACCACGTATTTCATTGGCTAACTGATATAGCTAATCCAATCATTGACTTCGTTACATTATCACATGTGTTAATTATACATGTTCGGGGCCATGACTTCTCATCAAGTGAGCCGGTGTTCTCAAGTCTTGGCCCGGAAACATGAATAATTATTACCTGACATCGGCTTGTCGGGTAATAAGCAAACGGATTCAATAAATAATATATTTTCGGCAAGAATCTTGAAGTGGCGGTAAATTCCCGAATGTCGCCCAAATCCGAATTTTTTGCAACATGATGTCGCTACTACAAGCTAGCTGCTATTCCTATTGACAATATTGCGTGCACTACCATTTTCATTACTTTTACTGTTACTAAATTTCGTCAGTTTTAGAAGTCCAGAAGACGATTTTTTTTTTTAATCGGGGATTGAAGGTTGATTTTTTTTTTCATCGGACACAATTATGTTTTTTTTTTTTGGGCGGGTTCTAGAAATTCAGGTCGGCGGATCCGTAAAACAAGAGAATAAATTGGTCTGGCCTTAACTCAAAACTTTTAAGCCTTTCACAGCAGGTTTTCTCCAAACCCTCATAGTCAATTAGCTTTTTATTACTTTCCTTCTGGAGGTAATGCACTTATATACTTTGAGTTTGAATTTGAAATACATTGAAATGGTACCTTTATTTTTAACACCTTCTTTTAATCTTTAAATGTTTAAAAATAATGTACACAAACGAAAATAGTGCTTTTAATTTACCTTATTTATTGTACCATTCACGGCCTGCAAAATGTTGATAATTGTAGTGTATTATATTTCCCGAATAAACATTTTACAAGATAAAAAAAGAAAAAAAAAAAGAAGCTGGCTCGCTAGTCTGGAAGTCGCGTGTTTGATCCCTGAATTGGACGAGTAGTTCATCAGGATTTTCCGAAGTGGTTTCCTCTTTTCAGTGGTGCAGGATGGAGGGCCTTATCAGAACAGCTGTTTAGTCTTTTGGATGGGACGAAAAACCAAGGGCCCGTGTATACATTGGCATGCACGTAAAAGATCCCAGGGCAGTTGGAATTTGATATAAGAGTAGGCCACAGTGCTGCTGCCCGGGCAAAATTTCCCTTATAACACACTGTATGGCGTATATGCCCTTCTTCATTAGCCCAGTCAGAGCAGAACAGTAAGACATTAAACCCCATTTCATTTCCATTGGAGTATAATCCTGTTGTCTCCATAAGCTTTTGCCTCGTAACCACTAGAATCTGATGTAGAAACAGGTGCAGTGCATGCTGAAACACTAGATACCATTCTCACCTCTCAGTACCCTGTGCTGTATTTATAATTTTATTTGTTCAATGTTTTGTATAGCAATTTAGGTTACATTGTCTACCAGAACACAAATTTCTGTAAGCTTTTACGATCTTAGTATAAAGAAGCCATTTACTTCCTATTTCTGTCTCTCTCTTGACTCCAAGTACAAAGAATAATGAAAGATATAATTACATTTTTTTCATCCAATCTATTTTTTTCTTTTTTCTTCTTTTTTCAACATCTTGTTTACGGTGAAGCTTTAAATAAAGAAACAACATTAAATCAAAAGTTTAGGAGAGATCAATTATTTTAGTTTAATACATATATATGCAGAAATTGTATAGTTGTCATCACACCTGTTTGTCCATAAGTTTTCATGATTTCTAAACCCCAATTATCCCTACTTGGCATTACAATTTTGTGCATGTTCTCGATTCTTGTATTATTCATATCAATCAAAAGTTACTATTGTTCATAAAGATTTCAGACCCTAGAAAATTATTTTAGAATGTCACAGCAACAACATTTCTAGTACAAAAAACTTCTATGCCTTGTCATGATGGAATTCATATTTCTTCTTGGAGCTTTCCCATGTTACAGGGTCAGACATAATGTGATGAATCAGACGGTCAGACACCAAACGCCAGCCATTATTTTCAACTCGTTGGTACCAACCACTTTTATCTGAAAATATCAAAACAGGATTACTTCAGATCATAAAATATTAATTGGCTGATATTTATAAATTATAAGTAAAGGCCTACATACACAGATTATTTGTAAGCAATGACATAATGGTTGGTGTTTGCCAAAATATGGCCTCCTCAATAGTTTCTCCTCAATGTTTCATATTTTTTTATATTTGTAATATCAAACTGGCCCATATTCAATCACCGACAAGCCATAAAGGTTTACAAAATTTATTGCCAAATACCAAATTTAATATTACAGCAAATGGGGGATAACTCTGGATTGAAAGTTGCAGAATGCTGAATATCAATTGGAGTAGTCCTCATTACCATAATGCTTCACACCAAATTTGAAAAGAATCCGTTAAAAACTGTAGCCTCTATCGCATTCACAAGGTTTTCAGTAAAGGGGGGGGGGGGAATAACTCTGGAATGGAAAGTTGTGGAATGCTGAATATCAACAGGGTTCATCCTCTCATGACCCCAATACTTCCCACAACCTTGATATACCAGATGTTTACACTATTGCCGTGGGGTGGGGGGCATTCTGTCTGGCAGTTTTCGTCCGATTTTCACTAAATTCGAACTCAACCATCATTAGGGTGTAACGGTGATATATTCAAACAGTTTTTTAAATTGGATAAAAATAATTACCTCTTAGAGGGATAAATACAATTGTTTAAACCTACATTATGCAAGAGCTAAACCTGATTATTGCCAAGTCTTTATTTAGGCTTCAGATGTCATAGAAATTATAAATTAGATCGTTATTTACACAAAATCAACTCTGTAGACCCACGGATGGCTTGGATTCGGCTTGGATTTAAACATGATTTCATTGATTGATTAAATCTTTAAATGGCGTCGTAATTTTAGATCAAGGATAAATGGTAGAGTGTACACTACGAAGCGAGGCCTCATGTCAGTCAATTTGATTGAAAGTTTGATATAAATGAAATGAAATGAAATGGGGTTTAATGTCCTACTGTTCTGCTCCTAACCTGGGCTAATGAAGACGGGCATACGCCATACAGTGTGCTATGAGGGAAATTTTGCCCGGGCAGCGGCACTATCGCCTACTCTTATATCGAATTCCAACTGCCAAGGGATCTTTTACGTGCATTCCAATGTATACACAGGACCTCGGTTTTTCGTCTCATCCGAAGGACTAGACAGCTGTCCTTGTCAGGCCCTCCGTCCTGCATCACTGACAAGGGGGAACCACGCCGGAAAATATGGATGAACTTTTTCGGCCAATGCAGGGATGGAACACCCGACCTCCAGGCTAGCGAGCCAGCGCCTTACCCACTTAGCCACGTGGTCCCCAAGTTTGATATATACGGCCTTGATATTATGTTTAGTTGTGGTTAAAATGAGAGTTTGGATGTCGGTATTATACGCTCTTTTGTCATTTGCGTTTCCATCAATTATGGAAATTGATAAACATTGCAGCTAACATCACCCCAGTTGAATTGCACCCCATTGGATCACTGTTTCCTATTTGAAATTTGTCTGCTTCGGGAGTCACGTAGGCCTACCGGTTACAGTACAAGAGTACACACAGGCTAACAAGAAGTCGGCTATAATTATGCCTCATTGATTTGGTCCATTCCTTTCAAACTTTCGCTTCTTATCTATATATTAAAAGTCTTATTTTTAATTTGTAGTAAAAAAAAATGTGATACAAATTGAATTGCAACCCCGTCTCAAACCGAATAAGCTAACGGTACCACAGCCATTAAAAACATTACTTGATAATCGAAATTATTTAGGTGGAGTTAATGCCTGTCAATCAAACGATCGGCCATTCTCGGAGAAGGTGAAGAGAGAGTTGACTCCTATCTCTAGTCAAAAATTACAATGGTGATAACTTTGTTCAGAATAAAGTTATTTTCAATATATTCTTCTTTCATCATCTATTTTCGAACTGTTATAGCAAGAATGACCAACTCTCTATTAAAATCTCCCATAATGTATCTTTAATTACATCAAAGCCAAAGTGCACGAAAGTGAACGTAAGCATTTTTTTGCCAATGAAATTGACATTTCTATAGTGACTCATATTTTGCTGGTACAATTACGGTACTGAAAATAATAATAGACCTATTGTACATGCAAAACCTTATTTTAATTCACATGTTAAAAGAACATGCATACAGCTGTACAGCGGATTCTTTGATGATTACCCAATCAACAACCTTTATCTCCTGAACACTAAGCTGCTAATTAATTGATGAGATTAACTGAAGTTAATCTGGTTTAATCTCACTGTGCCACCTAAACAAGGGATTATAGACTGTATCCTTATTATTAGTACTGTTCACCTAGTTAAGATTTAATTATTATATAAGGATAGTTGTCACCCCGAAAAGATTACTTTTAGTTGTTGAAGCTAGAGGTCATAAAGTTTAAGCTCGTGCATATTGTGATTTTTCTCTGAATACTTGGATTTACCGTTGTGTTTTATTCTTACTTGTTTGGATTATCACTGTGTTTTTGGATATAGCAAGGATATACCGGCTCACCGGTGGGAATTATTACTGCTCTGGTAATTATACCTATTTGTGGACCGAGATATTGTTTTATATTTTAAACTTTTGAACGGAAATCGACTTGGCGTGGGTTTGGCAGCCATCTTGAATTTTTACAAATCAGGTACAGATTTTGATCGGATTCAGTCGTTTCTTGTCTGAATCAGGGTTGCTCATTATCTGGAAAACATTGTAATTCACTAAGGCTATCCCCCCAATCTATTTCAAGCGAGTGGGTACTCATATTTTTATATTTTATATATTTTTGTGCGGAAGTCGACTTGGCGTGGGTTTGGCAGCCATCTTGAATCTTTGCAAATTGAATACAGATTTAGACCGAACTTAGCCGTATCCGACTGAGTTAGTGATCCTCTTTATCTGAAAAACTTTGCATTTCACTGAGGATATCCCCCAATCGACTTCAAGCGAGTGGGTACTTGTTTTTTTCCTTTTTTTTTTTCTTTTTTTTTCGATAATAAAAATAAATCTTCTATTCTCTTGTTTTGTTTTTCTCTCCCCCTAGCACAGCCCATTACTTTCTCGCCAACCTTTAAATTTAGGGAACACGTTAGTGACAGAGAAGTTCATCCCTTCTCGTTCTCAGACAGGATTTTGGACGAGAGTTTACGGGGATCCTCCTATATTCTATAGCGCAGATAACAAGGTTCCCAACTCTCGCCTGACCTCTGTGCCTGACCTGTCGCTGACCTGTCCAATCGCGACGGTTGGCCCTCTTACTCGAAATTAAACTAGGTCACCATGGACGCGACGGCCATCTTGGACACCCTTCAACCCGACTGATCTGTACGGTTGAAAACCACCCCTGGAACACTGCGACTTGAGAGCCGCTTTAGTAGAATAATTAGAACTAGGATCCTCATATAATCCCTATTTAAGATATAAATTACGGTTCGCGGGGAATTGTGTGTTTGTAGGACTCCCCTAGATTTCCTAGCGAGGGTCACGTGACTACTTTATCACATTAACCCGGCTCGCCGATTTATCTCCTTTCTCTGTAGGTGCTGTCTCATAGGTCAGCGCTGAGTATAGTAACCCAACACCTTGATTTACGCTTGATCGCTGAAGGTGCTCTCTCATAGGTCCGCGCCGAGTCTAGCATCTCACCCACTTACAAAGCCCGCACAAATCTTGTCTTAATTGTACTTAGTGCTCTCTCTGAGGTCCGTGGCACACCTCTTGACTCCTGCCTATTCTTATTTTTATTATTTTTTGTGAACGATATCCGGCAGCTATGTCGAACACTAGCACCGGCATGGACAGGATAGAGGTCCTTGAAGGTGGGGTCCCCCCACCAGTCTCGTCTCTTAAGCGCTCCTTTTTGGACGTCTTAAAAAGCATGGCACTCCTGGCTGCTTTTCGCCATAGGAACGTACCCGCTCCTTATCAACACCCGTTGATAGTTAAGCCCTTGGACGGGTCAACCTTCTTGGGCAAGAAGGCCACTGTCCTCGGGAAGGAGATCAGAGACATGTGGAAGGTGACCTGCCTCCCCACGATCACGATTCCGAAAACCGGAGAGCTAAGCTTGGCTTTCCGGGATGAAGTGGATCTGGAACGGGCGTGAGAGTGTCCATTACCACACCACGCTCTCTCAGCTCTGAGAAATGCATGGTCCATGGTATACCGATGGAATACTCTGGCAAAGAAATCCTCGATGACTTGAGACTTCGTGGATATGAGGTTGAAGGGACCCATAGGTTCCGGGTCAAAGAGGGTTGCCAACACAGTACGGTTGTCCTGACCTTCCCAAATGGCAAAACGCCAGAGTCGATCAACATTGTCTACATGCGTGGACACACCCACCCGTATGTCCCAAAAATTTGACAGTGTAAAAACTGTCAGAAACTAGGACATACGGAGAAGTTCTGCTCTTCTAAAGTCGCTTGTGGTCACTACGGGAAGGACCACAAAAGTTCCGTGTGCCCAGGATGCCAGGGTGAGCACGTGGCAAATTAAAGAGACTGCCCAAAAATCGTCCTGGCGAGCCGGGCGTTAAAGGTAAAAGCTAAAGAGGGGATCGGCTACCGGGAAGCGGAGGTAAAGGTGAAAGGTCAGATCGACCTAGAGACGAAGAAGGCGGTTAAGCCAAAAAAGCCACGTCGGCATAGGAAGAAGAGAGGGCAGACCCCTGCCCCAAAAACGGCTCCGCCGTCGGGATTAGCAGCCCCAGCTCCTACCCTGACCACCCGGTCAGAGCAGGAAAAGACAATGACACCTCCAGTACCTGCCCTGAAAACAGGACAGGTCCCACTGGCTCCACCGGTAACCGCTAAAATTCCAAAAACTGTGGGAGGATTTGTTCCCCAGTTTAGAAACGAAAAAAGGCTTTGTAATGTTCTGCACGGAACTGGTGTTGGCCGCGAAAGGCATCACCGATCAAGGCGAACTAGTTGCTGCCATATCCAAAACCATGACAAAATACGTCCAGAACTTAACCGGTGGT